AGGACACAGCTCCGCTCTCCAGGAGCTGCCACAAAGTGTGTGATCTGAGGGTTCCACTCCTTGGGCTGTACTTTGGAAATGTACAAACAGAAACCCCGAAGCTGGACCTTGCCAACGTCTTTCTTCAAAGCTTTGCGCCTGTCTTTTCAGCAGAATTACTTCCAGTGTAAATGATGGGAACTGTATTCAAGATAAGGTTGACCCAAGGCTGGGATATTTGCCTGGACTTTTACCAGAAGTCACTGGAGGCTTCAAATTTGTCCTTCCCCTGAAATTTATTCCTTTCCTAAAATCTGTGAAAATGTTCACAAGCAAGCCTTGTACACATTGCATAGTCAGACTGAGCCTTCCTAAGGCTCTTTCTGGCTTGAAGACCTATAGTCCTAATGTTTTCAAAAATGCTATTGGATACTGCAAGTGGTTATAGGAAATGCTCGTAAAATGAGTTCAGTCTAGTAGCCTAGCAGTCAACTAGGAATCTTTGGAAAGTCCCACCAATGGGATAGGAACAAGCACGCTTAAACAGAAGTGTACCTAGAGGGGAACCGGTTTCTTATTTCAGAACTGTTATCTACCACCATAATATGGCACACTCATTAGAGGCACAGTTAGGGGAAGCCCATGTGGGGCCATGGATAGAACATGTTATTCTAGCTTCCTTATTCCCCCCTCCCCAACTGGTCTCCAACTGGAAGTTGGGGCTCACTTAGAGAGCACTAGAACAAGTTCAACAAAGTGTGTATGGGGGCAAGAGGGGGATCCTACTTTTTCCCGCAGGACCAGAAGGAGAAACATTTACTGCTTTGGCGGCATTGATTCCTTAGCTAAGCACCAACTGTGTACAGGCAGCTTCCTAGACAAAAGTCCAGGTCTAAACCAAAGAAATCCTGCCCATGAATTTCAGTAAATGTAAGCAAACCATGGTTGCTTCTTATTATATAACAGAAATCTGGTTAGCAATGGAGAGGAAAACTGGAAGTCTTCAGCAAGGTGTAGCCTTGGAAGGTAAATTCTTTGCAATATTTTAAGTCAGAAAGGAGAACCCACAGGGCAGCTGTCAATCACATCTTTATATCACTCATTCAATGATCCTTGTCACTCCCCTTTCCCCCAACTCAATTAATCCCCGGGGCTTCACAGGAGCAAACCTCCAGGAGTAAATAGAAAAGCCTCTATTTAGCTTTGAAAGCCTTCACGATCTTGCCCCTTCTCCCCACATTCTCTCGGATCCAGGAATACTGGCCTCCTGGCTGTTGCCCCACAACACACCCCATCTCCCAAGTCTTCATTTCCCCTGGCTGTCCCCCACTTCTGGAATGTTCTCCCTCCTGCCCTCCTGGCTTCTGCAAGAGGCCTTCCCCAATCCCTCCCCCTCTGCACCAGTAGCTTCCCTCTGGAATTCTCTCTAGCGCCTCTGTCTACATCTTGTGTGCACACAGTCGCTTCCACGTTGTCATTCCCTTTAGAATGTGAGCTCCATAAGGGCAAGGACCCAGAGCTTAGATCGATGCCTGGCCCATAGGAAATATCCACAAAATGCGTGTTGACTAAATTCCCATGACGTACAGAGAACACCACAGCACTGCTGGAGGTGACACAGAACTGAAATAAAATGGTCTTCACCCTTAGGGATCTAACAGTCTGGAAAGGGATCAAGACAAAGTACAGACAGCTATCATTGTTCAGTCATTTTTCAGTCACGTCCAACTCTTTGTGACCCCATTTGGGGTTTTTTTGGCAAAGATACTGGAGTGGTTTGCCATTTCCTTCCTCAGCTCATTTTACAGATGAGGAAACTGAGGCAAACAGGGTGAAGTGACTTGCCCAGGCTCACAGAGCTAGTAAATGCCTGAGGCTGGATTTGAACTCACGGAGAAGAGTCTTCCTGACTCCAGGCCCTGCATTCTATGCATTATGGCACCACCTACCTGCTCCAACTATTATAAGATAAGTGCATTAAAGAGTCACAACCCAACGTGCTGTTGGTGGAGGGGTGAGAAGTGGGGTTGCTCTCTCTTCCTGGTCTCCTGGTAAGGATTTTTTCTGTTCTCTACTCTTAGGGCAGGGGTGGGGATGATGAATAGTTGTATTCTGCTCTGGTCTTTCTCTCTGTCTCCTTCAGAAGTGATCATTCTTTCTGGAAGACTCCATCAGGAGCACAGAGATCACTATGCTCATTTATGTCATTGCTGTTAAAATTCTGACTAATGAAGAAGACGTGTATCTTTAACCACATCCTCTGACATAAATTTTCAGTCAATAATGAGTTAAACATTTTAAAAAATCATAATGAAATACATGTGAGAGCGCTGCTCAATAGAGCGAATAGTATTAACTCTCTCACCTATAGGTGTATGGATGCACATAGGTAGGTGTGTGTCAATACCGACACAGGTCTCAAAGTAATCTTAGTCCAGGTGACTAAGATGTTAAAGTGTGTAGTGACTAGTGTGTAAAAAGAGGGACTGCACTGTGATTTTTGTAAAAATTAAAATGTTTTAGAAGCCTCGTACCCAGTTCCAAAAACCTGTTTGGCTTCTAATGGCTTGTTAAATCACCACAAGCCCCACCCATACACACTAGGGTGTCTGTTCTCCCTCCTTATCCTTCCCACCCCCTCCACACCATCCTCACTCTATTCTCAAAATGCAGTCTGTCTGCCCCAGACACTATCAGAGCCCCCTCAGAGACCTGGATTCTAATTAAAACCAACTCCAAAGAGGTAGAATCTACTAGCTCCTTCAGTATTCCCACGACCTGTTTTAAACTGGGCCCTCTTTGATTATTATATTTTTGGATCTTGGAATTTTCCAGAGCTTACTCTCCTGGTTGTTTACTCATCACCCCATTGATAGTGCTGAGCTATGCAGTCAATCCAATTTTGCTAAACTCATGAGTTGCCTTTACCAATCCCAACTGGACCACCTTGTCACTCCTTCTTTCTCGTTGGCTGCAACATTCACTAAGAAGCTGTTTAACGAACTGCATAAGAGCTTGGTAGATTATTTTCCACTGGGTTGGTACTTCCATTTTTCTTCTTCTTCCTACTTCAAACAGAGATTAACTCAAGGCACTGGCCAAAGGCTTGAATGTTGGTATACTAGCAACAGTAGAGGTGTTGGCCGGAATGACACAGCGCTGGTGAGGACTGAACAGGAGCCCTTTGGGGCCCTTCTGCAGGCCTGGGACCAGTGGCGGGATCTGCCAGTGACATTTATAAGAAGCTCCAAAGGGCCATGTGAGAAGGCCATAAGGTCCCTTTCTGACCATTTCCTCCACTCTACCTTTCTCTGTCATACTCGGTTTGCCTACCAATGAGGCCATATTTGTGAGTTCATTTTGGTTTTTTTTTTTTTTTTTTGGTAGAAAGGATTCTATGAGGTCAACAAGGGTCACCGATAACATAATTGTAGAGATTCCACGAAATAATGACAGTTCATTTTATTTGGCTCTGGGTTTAGGGGTGTGAGTTGTAGCAAAAAAAAATTAAGCTCTGGAGCGCATATCACAACAGAAACCGCCACTTGATTGTGATGCAGATCTAGTTAGCTCCTCACAGGAACCTCTGCCAGTAGGCCACCATCTTAATTTTGTGGTCCTCACTAACCCTATATACTCTGTGTGCCACACCCCCATGACACTGGGTAACAGGTCAAATGGGCATCGGCCAGAGAAGGAACGCCCATTTACTGCTGCAGGAGGACTGTTTTAGAACTGACTCCTCACAGTTAGACCAGGTGACAGCTTCTCTTGCCAAGAAATACCATGTCAGCTCTTGGGAGAGTAACTTATTTTAATAGACCCTACAAAAATACATATTCTCATTGGACGTAGGAAAACAGTTCATTTACAAATAGCGTCCTCAGAGCTGTGGTGACAGTATGCGATGCGCCTGTGAGAATGCACATGCTGCATGAAACAGCAGCTTGGGAAGTCAACAGGGATCTCGGGTTGCTCCTAAAGAGCCATGCTGACACAAGAAGGAATGTGGACATGGCAAGCTCTGCAGGCTTGTCCTGGAATTTCCAAAGGGACATCTTAAATAAGTGGATGAGTAAAAACACAAAGAAATATTTAAAAGGATTATAAAATGGATTGTTTTTCCATCACTTGTACTACAAAATGTCTATAATTTAAAAATCCCCACACTCTCTGATCAGTCTGCCTTTCTCTCTGTCCAGTGGTAAAGGAACACCAGTGTTCCGTACCATTCCTTCTGGAGGAAGAAAATAAAAACACTTAAACACTTGGATCAATAGCAATTGAGATGAATTTGGCATTGTCTCTACCCCTCATCAAAAGGCAATCTCTGAGATGAATCTTACAGCAGACCACAGCTCTGGGATAACACATGTGAAGTTTATATTTAACATTAGAGTTCAAATATAGCTCCCACCAATGGCTCTCTGCTAAACAGTCCTCAGCGGTGAAGCTTATCAATCCCCAAAGCGCATTAAAATGACTGAAAAGTAGCAAATCCTCTGATGCAACACGCGAGGAAATTCCACATCAATAGCAAAATGAATCACAGGTGCTACTGTTTGTAATTAGAGAAACCTGAAAAAAACAAAGCGACTTTCCTGCCACCCATCACTCACTGCTTATATTTGTGGAGATTCATGTCCATTTCCATTTTTTTTGTCCATTTCCCATCTTTGCACGTATTGTACTCAGCAGAAGGCATTGAGCAAGTTTAATTAATTTTGTACTGACTCTTTATATTCAGGTCCCAGAGATGAAAGGTTATTTTATGAAACATTTCACTCTGTATGGTGAGAATTTAGCAATGAATATGGAACCAAATATAAACACTGTATACCATATGTACAGTTACTTTCATAAGGCATTATCATGTATTTTATTGAAAAAGATTCAACATAGTAAAGTCTTATTTTAAGATATATTTTCTTTCTCAATCCAAGGTGTTTAGTTTATGAAAATATCATTTTTATCTATATTCTTTTTGAATATATGCCAACATATAACTTGTGCTAGAAATATTTTATGGGAATTACAATTCTTAATATCTGTATTTTCTATAGAAAGGCATATACAATTTTGAGGCAGTGTTTCTGATGGAGAGCGGAATTCTTAAAGAGCTTGTGTGTGCTTCCGTGCTCTGAAATCATAGGAAATCCACTTTGAGAAGAAATTAATTTGATAAAAAAAAAACCCAAAATGAAATGAAACCCAAACCCGCGCACCAATGCCCAGCCAGAGGCTGACAATGAGAACTAAAACATCACCACATGAACGTCATATTTATAGAGTGACCATTTTTAAGGAGGATCAGTACTGACATACAGTAGTATACATTTGGCGCTAATGTTTGCCATTGGTCCAGCAATTGGCAAAAATGTTTTCCTATGTATAAATTTATCTTTGAACATTAGGTCTGATTAGACGAATCTTCACTATTTATAAAAAAATATTTAGACAGTAAGCTCACGCTGAATAACTAGGTCTACTGTGTTCTGGAAACTCTTCAGGAGTAAGACCGCTTTCTCATGTTCCATATGCACGAAGCTGTGTCCATTTGCCTGGAAACATACAAATGAAACAGCAGAATCAGCACCGAATAATAAGTTGTTGCTCTCCATTGTTTCTAAAAACAACAAAAACCAGACAGAAATCAACAAAATATTTTGTTACGGAAGAAGCTTACTTTTTAAGCCTACCCTGAATTAGCTCAAACATGAAGATATTGCAAATGATCTTGGTTTCACTGAAGGAGGTTTAGCACCATTAATGTCTCCTTCATAGTACTCCAAGTGGTAAAAATCATTAATGCAGCTGAGGTGTCCACATATACATGGAAGGTTTAGACCAGCGGTGGTGCCCTGTCTGGTATCTGGAGGAATGGGGGGAGGGGAGTGCAGTCCACTCAGGGTTGTACTGATGAGATATGACATGTCACGGAGACTGAGTCTTTCATCTGGGCACATGCAGAGAAGCTGCCTATCTTGGCTGAAGACACTGTTATTTCTAGCCAGGGCAGATGAGAACAGAGTTCAAATTCTGACTTTTGGATTTATAGGTCAATGACTGGTTTCAGCTAGGTTTGTTGGGAGTCCTGGCTTCTGGCTTGTATCCCTATGACATTAAATATCATTTTGATGACTTCAGGCCATGGTGTGAAGGAACAGGATTGATTCCAATCATGTATTTCATATAGAATTGCTTTTGTCATCAGCCTACAGCAGGGTAGGTCTCACAAATATTGGTCACACAGGATCTCACTGACATGAAAATTACAGAGAAAACACAATATTATTTAACTGTGTTGGAAAAACTCACTCTCTGAAAGTCAAAGTTTTCACAGTATTTGTTCATAGCCTTGGTCAATTTAACTTAAACAGCTGCTTATTTTGATATAAGAAATCAGTCACACTGGTGTTTGGCTTTGCACTACCTTAAAGAACAAGGTAATTGCTTGCATTTCTCACTTTTTGGTTGGCTGGGTTCGTCTTGCGTAGACAAAGCTTTTGTTATTGTACTCTTCCCTTCTTTTGTGATCCACTAAAATATGATTAATATTTCTCATAACTACTCTTTTCAAATATTAGACTGCCTTGGGTATTCTCATAACAAAACAATAACATATCAGCAGTAGTGCCAGATAATACTTTTATGAGGTCCATATATCTGATCAATTAACACTTGGTGGTCAAGAGTGTGATAGAGGCATTACTTGGGAACATCAAAGCCCCTGACCCATGAGGAAATACTGAGAAACAAACATAGAAGAAGAAAACTTTGAAATAAGGAATTGATGGTTTGGAATTAAAGTACCTGCCAAGTGTGCTTCCCATGAGGACCTTTGTTTAAAATAAGAAACAAGCAAAGTTGCCATGATAGGAGATGAAGCAGCTGCAGAAAGCGAATAATGGAGCGGTCCTTTAGCCATTGGGTTTCTGTGCCCACACTTCTTGCCCTAAGTTATATTAAGAAGCAGACAATTGGGCTCATTCATTTTTCCTTCAAGTCAGACCAAGATGTGGTTTGGAGAGCTAAGCAAACTGGTTTCCTATGACCTGACCTCAGCTCAGACCTGAGGGGGCTGGTTTACTAAGACCTCTACTTTCACCCTTATAGGGACATCATGAAAAGGACCAATCTCTTCTCTTTGCTTCAGTAAAATGCAAAGCTGGTGAAAATAATCTTTTTAGTTACAGTTTTGATAGAACTCTGCCTTGATTCTATTATTTGGACAGGAGATACCTGTCTATTTGCTCTACAGAAATTAAACTGAATAAATGTGAGCTCCTGAATGTCAAATTTTGTGAATAATTCTGAAACCTCCTAGGTTAGGGTCATATTTAAAGGGTATAGTCTTCAACAAATTTCATTTATTACTAATGAAGTTGATGAGTTATAATTCAATTTTAAAAATATTTTTTATAAGTGCCTTCTCTATGGAGAGTAAAATCTAGATAAGCTTTAATGAACCTTGTTGTGTAATAGGTGATATCAACCAATCCTATATTCAATATTCTGTTTCTGTCAGTCAACAAGTATTTAAGTGTCTGCTAAGTGCCAGATACAATTCTAAGCACTAGGGATACAAAGATAGGCATAAAAAAATCCTAGCCCCAGTTCTTAAGAGACTTATGGTCTAATAAGGATGAAAATATGCAAACAACTATGTACAAACAAGATAGATACAAGACAAATCAGGGATAGTCAATGAAGGGAGGTGCTAGTATTAAGGGGGGAATCAGGAAAACTTCTTAGAGATGATGGGATTTTAGCTGGTACTTGAAGGAAGCCATGAAGTAGAGATGAAAGTTCTAGGCATGAAGGACGGCCAGTGAAAATACATGAAGTCAGACATGGAGCATCTTATGTGAAGAACATCCAGGGTGCCAGTGTCACTGGAGCAAAAAGTATGGAAAGAGGACTGGGGAAAGGGTGATGGATGAGAAGAAGAGGAAGGGGCCAGATCACGAAGGGCTTTAAATGCCAAAAAGAAGATTTTGTATTTGATCCTGGAGCTAACAGGGAGTCACTTGAATTCGTTGAACGGGAGCGTGGTAAACATGGTCAGATCCACACTTGAGGAAGATCAGTTAGTGGAGGGAAGCATTGCCTGGAATGGGGAAAAGATGAGACTGGGAGACCCACCAGCAGACTGTTGTAATAATATAGACAAGAGGAGATGGAACACCCAGAATTGGGGGTTGGCAGTGCAGAAGGAGTGTATGAGAGATGTTGGAAAGGTAGAATCAACAGGATTCAGTAATTGATTGGATGTGGAGGGAGGAGAGAGAGAGAAAGAGGGAGGGAGGGGGGAGAGAGGGGAGGGGGGGGGGGGGGGGAGGGAGGGGGAGAGAGAGAGAGAGAGAGAGAGAGAGAGAGAGAGAGTGAGTATCAAGGATGATACCTAGAATGAGAGCCTGGGTAACTAGAAGGGTAGTGGTACCCTTGATAGTAATAGGAAAGTGAGAAAGAGCGAAGAGTTTTTGAGGAAAGCTAATGAGTTCAGTTTCGGGCATGCTGAATTTAAGACATGAACAAGACATCCAGTTTGAGACTTACATTAGAGAATTGGCAATGTGAGACTGGAGGTCAGAAAAGAAATTAGGGCTGGATAAATAGATTTGGGAATCATCAACATAGAGATGGTAATTGAATCTGTGGGGACTGATGAAATCACCAAATCAAATAATGTAGAGGGGGAGGAGAAGAATGCTCAAGACAGAGCTTTGAGAGACACGCAGCGTTATTGGGCATGACCTTTCTGAAGATCCAGCGAAGGAAACTGAAAAGGAATGCCCAGACATGTAGGAGGATAATGAGAGAGCAGCGTCTTGATAACCTAGAGAGAGGATACTATCAAGGTGAAAGTGATTAACAGTGCCAAAGACAGCGGGTTATTAGATATGGCACTTAAGAGGTCATTAGGAGAACTTGGTAAGGAGCAGTTTTAGTTGAAGGGTGGGTCTGGGAGACAGACAGCAGAGAATCCAGAAGAGAGTGAGAGGAGAAATGGAGACAACTAACATGGGTGGCCTTCTCAAGGAGTTTAGCCACAAAAAGGAAGAAAGATGGGACAACAGCTAGTGGGGAGTGGATGGATCAAGTGAGGGTTTTTTGAGGATGATGGAAGCACAGACACTTTATAGGCGGTAGGGAAGTGGACAGGGAAAGATTGACCGTGACACAGAGTAGAGACGATGGAGGATATAATCTCCTGGAGATTGCTGTGATAAAGGTGAAGGCTACTCTGAAAAATTTTAGGGCTTCATCAAAGTTTCATCTTGAATACCTTAAGTCAGAGGCGCAGGAAGTACAGAGCCTGTCAGACTCAAAATCACTTGGAAATGGGAGGATGCAGTGGCCCCCTAATCCCCCATCTACCCACTACGGAGTGGTTGAGATCCCTGGTAAGCAGCATGTAGCTCCCAAGGAATCCCAAATCTGCTATTGTGACGTAATTGTTTTTCTTTTTTTCAAAGATCTCTGTCCATGGCTGGAATGTCTTATTCTATGACGATTCCTTGCTCCAAATGATCTCTCCACAGTCCAGGGTGGAAGAGAGCCAGGTGAATCTCTCATCTGACGGCTCAGGTCCCTGCGTCTGCCCCGACACGGCATCCTCTACCAGGTGTGGAAAGGAGAAGCCCTGAGTTGGGTTGTGACTCTTTTGGACCCTGACTAGGAAGGGCCAGCAGCAGAACAAGGCTGGCTTCTGGTTTGTATCGTCGTTGTGAACCTCTCTCTGTTGATCAGACCTGATTGGCCCTACTAAGTCTAACATCTCTCACTGCTTTGCTGGTAAAGGCTCTCTGCCCTGAGTGGGTAATTCTGTGGCTTCCACGACATGCTGCATGGTGTTTCCTTGAGAGTTGCAATTAGCTTGTTGTCCCCATTATAAACTCCAATAACTTTGTCCTCTGCAGTAGTCTCTACAGACCTGGGTGTATTCAAGGCTGTAATTCGTATTCAAATTGCCATCAGGTTTAATTTGGGTCATTCCAAAAATACTGGTGGAAATGAATGTTTATTGTTAAAGTAGAATCTGCAAAAATGATGAGGTTTTTCATTCTTATTATAGCTCCCCTTTCTGGCTTATTTTGGGGTGATTTCGACTTATGAACGTGTGTTTATTTTCTCTCCCAAAGCGGAAAAGTGATGTGATGGAAACCAGTATTCTCTGCAGCAGAAAAATGATGAGTTCTTTTGTCACCTTCAATGTGCAACTTTATGGTGGGGCAGCTAGGTGACACAGTGTATAGAGCACTGGGCTTGGACTCAGGAAGGCTTGAGTTCAAATGTGGCTTCAGAAACTTACTAGCTGTGTGATCCTGGGCAAGTCATTTAACCTGCTTGTATCAGTTTCCTCAACTGTTAAAAAAAAAAAGCCTCTCAAAGTTGTTGTGGGTGGGGAATCACACTTAGCACTGTACTTGGCACATAATAGGCGATGCATAAATGCTTCCCTCTCACCTCTTATGTCCAAGGCTTTAATTATGTCTCTGAATTTCTTTGAGAGCTTATGATTCCTCTACATCCTAATTTAGAAAAGTGTAGAAAGTAT